TCAAATGGCAGGCGTTTTGATATTTATCATTAGACCTTTAGTTTACTTTGGGGTTCACAGAGGGGAAGGAAGATCAGAGTGAAAGAAAATCGAGAGAGGGAGGAGAAGAAGAGTGTTTCGAAGACGAAGAGGCAGACACCAAGGTAGAAAAAGGTGAAGTGAGTACTCTGGAAGTATTCGAATATGACATACAGTGGGGTGATGGTAGTTTGAAGTGAGAAGTCAACTGCCGGTTAACAGACTTTTTGCCGCATGAGTATACGTTGCCCAGGATGCACCACGTAGAGTTAAGTCTATCGCACACCCCAAGAACCCCGAAATTTAAATATTGTATACTGTCGACAGCCTTATCTCCACGGAATACAGATAACTTGAGAAATAATAGAATTTAGAAATTAAATGGCTGTCCAAGGCTTTTAGTAGACGTATTTTGTTCGATCCGTTGGGTTCAAATGGACGCTTTCACATGACCTTGAAAAATGGTATTATTAAGTGGAATCCATCTATTTGTATCTGAATCATAAGAGTCGAATGTCCTTTTTTAAGGAATTATACAAAATCTAAACGTGTACCAAATTACATTATCAAGGAAATTGAAATGCATACTTTTCTGAAAAAAGATTTCTTACAAATTTTTGTTGATTAGTATTAAACTAGGCACTTAATAATAATTAGCTCAAAGAAGATTTTTTTTAAAACAACCTACTTTATCATTTATCTAATTAATAGGAGCAACGTGACTTTTATTTGTTCAGCCAAAATGGATTAGACCTCAAATATATAGACTTTAACGATAACAAAGCCAATAAAAAATGAGGTATTTAGCATTTTAGCATAAATAACCGAATTGTCCTTTATGCAAATGTCACAATGAGAAGAAATACACTATTTTAAAATTTTGGCTTAATAAAGGATTGAATTTGATTATTGCCAAGATAAGTTTGTTTCAACTTTGGTCTCCTGTTGCATACAATGACATTTTAAATGGCTTATCGGTCAAAAAATATCGCTGTTATCTCAAATTTATCCCCTTTCTTGCAGCCAAAAAATGTTATTAATCAAAACAGAATTCAAATCATAAGTTTTTTAATTAATTTTTTTAAGCTGTTTTTAGCATAAGAAGATTCGCTAAATTAAAAAAAGCATAATTGGATGCTCTTTTACGTATGTTTTCCTTGATATGACTCGAATTAAGGAAAACTAATTTTAAAATTTCATTTAACCATTTATTATCGTAATTATTTGCTTATTTATAGTGGAAAAGGTAAAAAATAGCAGAAATTATTGTCTGAATTATACTACTAAAAAGCTCAAATTATTCCACATGATTTCTATCATTTTGTAATAATATATTTGAATGAGAACTTTCTGTCATTGTTTTAAAATCTTGTTATAATGTAACATATCTCAAGATAGTTATGCAAATGTAAAATCAGAACACGATTTACTGGGCTTCAACATTTGAGGTCATATGTAGCCATAACCTTGGCTGTGTCATAGATGATTTTCCATTGAAATAGTATGATTTAGTATTCTAATTAACCTTTTAACGCCCTCAGGACCGTATGGCCCTTCTTCAAAATAAGTTTCACCGGTACGAGACCCACAACAGAAGGCGTCTAAATCGTGTTAAACGCGTCTTTAGCCTTCACTTGATACTATCAAATCTCATCGTGTCGATAGCTCTCTGCTGTGAGACACGAGTGAGTGCGGTTGAGTGCATTTTGCAAAATATAATTTGGACTTTAAGGGGTTAAAGATGCCGTTGGGATCTAACACTCCCGTGGTACTGCTGATGAAATTGGAATTTGGAGAATCGATTTGTCGAATGAGTAAAGTACACAATTTCCAAACCAAAATTAAAATCAGATTCGCTTTATATGATAAATTTGTTCAGAATCTTCTTTGAATGCCTCAATTTGCCATTTACTAGAATTATTGTTAACCGATGCCAGTTGCCTTATCACTTTGGAAAATCTGTGAAATTTTGATATACAGTGAGTCTTAATACTACCAATAATAATGACATGGCTGACAATTACTATTTAATCGCAATTTTAGAAGTTTATGAAGAAGTTCGATGCTGACGGAGATGGAAAAATTACCGAAGAAGAATTTCTTCGCGTTGTCTGCAAGCTCCCAGAACAGGAACTAAAGTAAGTTCAAGTCGCACCGGACATTTACACAGCATAACACTCAGGCACCAGACATCACTCCGGCAAAGCATTGCACCCACCTTTTGTCGGTGATGAAAGAAGGGCCTAAGTTGTTATTTTCTTTTCCTATTTTACCCAACCTAATGCTACAGCTATTGTGCTCACAGAATGGCGTTTTGGCGCAATGTCTTCGATGATGTGGACAAGGACAAGTCGGGAAGAATTTCGTGTGTGGAATTGCACGGCCTACTGCAGGACATGGGATTCTCTGTGGAATTGGGGGAATTGCGTAAGTGGATCCAGAATCATGATAAGAACAGTGATGGTGAGATGGACTTCAAGGAATTCGTTGAATTTATGTCGGATGCTTCTCATTAGAAATAAAGTTTGTATGTAAAGTTAAAAATTTCGTATCTCTGCCTCAGATAATGAAGTGCTTCTTTTAACTCGTTTGATATTACCACTTGGAGTGGTTTTTTCCTTTTCTCGGCGACCAAATTAAACTTTGAATTGTACTTTCCGCTGAGTACTGAGTCAGAATAATGATCTATTTCTAGTGAAGCTATTCCTAAATGGAAAATGCTTTTTTTAGAAATTATAAAGCCCTTTAGACTAAAGGTCAAAGAGCTTATTTTAAGGGCTATTCACTAAGGACTAAACTCATTAGAATTTATTAATAAATGATATTTGCAAAGATGATATTACTGAAAAGATAGTGAAAGGAAATGAAATTCGTAGCTCACTTTAAAGTTCAAAAGCTAACATTTGATTAATGTTAGGAAAGAGCAATAATTTTTGAGCCTAATTTAGGCAGGATATCCTTTTACCGCTCACCATGGATTAGGCGATAGCGTCATCGAACTTCATTATCATTATTAATCTATGTGGTAAATCATTTCCTTGCCACGAGTTTCAGTACCACCTACCACTAATCAATAATTAATTGTTCACCAACTCATTCTTGACTAATATTGAATTTAAATTCGAATTGATGGTATCTTACTTCCAAAACTTCACCAAAGGTATAAAACTAATATTTTGCATATTTTTAATATCAAATGTCAGATTTTAGTTGAATTCGAGCTTCACAGAGGGCAGAAACAGACAAAGCCACAAGATGTGGGAGGTGAGGAATAGAAGAGTTAGTCACAGGTGTGAAAGAGACATATATAAAGAAAGAGAAGAAGGTGAGGTGAGTACTGTGAAAGTGGTGGAATTTGACATACAGTGGGGTCATGGTAGTTTCAAGTCAGAAGTCAACTGCTGGTTTATAGACTTTTTGCCGCATGAGTATAGGTTGCCCAGTATGCACCACTTGGAGGTAAGTCTATCGTGCACTTCATTCAGTTAACTTCACATCAAAATGCAAATTTGCATACATATTTGTGATGAAATACAAATAACAGCCACTAGGTAGGAGTTACGAAACTTTTGATTACTTTTAAATTTTCAAGCACCAACGCATGCCATTTAAAATATTAATTAGACGAAAATTCGTTTCGTGTATTTTAGTTCAGATTGACAGCACTGGCAATAGTTTGGTATATATTAGCTTTTAAAGTGGCAAGCGTCATTTTAACAAGATGGGGGGGGGGGGTGAATGTAGAGTACTTTGGCATATGCGCACTATTTCTCACATCTGAAATCCCTATATATATATATGTGTATATATATATACATATATTTCAAATGGCAGGCGTTTTGATAGCTATCATTAACCATTTAGCTGACTTCGGGCTTCACAGAGGGAAGGTTCATCAAAGTAGAAGAAAGTCGAGAGGGGAACAGAAGAGCGATTCACAGATGTAAAAGAGGCAGACAGACACAAAAGTAGGGAAAAAGGTAAGATGAGTACTGTGAAAGGGGTCGAATATGACAAGCAGTCGTGCCATGGTATTTTGAAGTGAGAAGTCAACTGCCGGTTAATAGACTTTTTTGCCGTATGAGTATGCGTTGCCCAGGGTGCACCGCGTGGAGGTAAGTCTATCGCACACCCCATATATATACATATATATATATATATATATATATATATATATATATATATATATATATATATATATATATATTCGTGTTTCTAAATTAGTATTAAACGTTATACTTTGGATCATATATCGTCAATAAGTGACCTTGAAGTTCTCTTTTCCATATGATCTGAACGACAGGCATTTGTGTGAGTAATAAAAGTCACCTTTCAATTCTAAAGTGGAAATAGAAGTTAACAGAGAGCTAGAGATTGAGAGAAATTTCTTTTAAATTTAAATACCACCGAGATTCATGCTCCTCCTGACGTATGAAATTGGGTCAATTTTGCTTCGGTCACTAAATCAAATGATCATTATCTCATGACTTTTGATATTTCGTAAAAAAAACAAATATATGGAAATGCATAAAATAAAGAAGAAGATATTGAGAGAAATATAGCCGAAATATATGAGATGGTGGAAAATTTTCCAATTGGTTATTAGGCATCTCTCAATAACAAGCCAATGAGATGATTAAGAGTTTTTAGATAAATATTCTATTAATATTTATCCCAAAAACATTATAGGTAAGTTAGATACGATTAGTAGTATGCTGTGAAAAAGCGGTAAGCTAGAAACTATTAGTTGAGGTCATTCACCTTCTCAATAATTGGAAAAACACAAAATTTCCCCTTATTAAATGACACCTGATAACTAGAACCGAACATTGTTGGCAAACCGTTTCTGCAATCCAGAATCCGATTAAAAATATAGGGGAATGTGATTTATTGCAATAGAAATGCTCTTTTTGCAAATTCCTTCTGACACCTTGAGAATTTGTTATAGAGATTTCTGAGTCAGTCAAGTTTTACTAGCGTAGCAATCCGCAACAAACTGGTGACCCTGACGTGATTGCCAAAGTCTGACTTTAATCGCGCCGCAGAGAACCAATCTCTCACTGGCATCGGGATTTTCTCTCCTCATCCCCCAATTCACTCGGTGATCCCTTTCTGCTCGAATGATCATCACCTTACGTCCGCTGCCGTTTCTCACGACAAGTCAGATCCTGACTTGTGCTCAACAGAGCCTCCATCTCTCATCGGCGACGCGATTGTTCTTCACATCGCTCTCCTCATCTGATGGTTCCTTCCCACAAACGATCAGCACCTCAAAGGCACCCCAACTCTCCCCTTCCACTGGCTACGACTCCCTCAGAACGCCCTTGGAAATAGGCGACAGCCGGAGCACGTTGCGTTTCAAATGTCCATGTCTACGAGACTCAAGAACCTCGTCCTTGTACCCAATGAAAATAACAGCCGGAATACGTTGCTCTTCGATAGCCTACCCTAACAGGTCCCCAAAACTCCAACTCACAACTGCATTTCAACCGGCAAGCCGAGACCAATCGTCAGGCAAGCACACACCGGAAGATTTCGACCATGGATTGTCGCAACCAAACATCCGTTCAACAAGAACATTGAACATCGATCATTGAATATGGAGGAACATCCAACAGGGCGCTCGTCAGTGGACCAAATACTGCCTCACTCGCTCAGCCGGCAAGGTCCACAAGCATGCACGAAGTCCACAATCCTACTGCCTCCAACTCCAACAAT